GTACTGCATTGCCGTCGTGTGTGTGTGTGTGTGTGTGTGTGTCTGGGAGGCGAGGGGAGGGGGAGCGTGGGAGGGGAGAAAGAGGGGCAGGAAAGAGAGGGGGGGGAGGAAGGAAGGATGAAGGGAGAAAAGGGGGACGAAAAGGAGAGAGGAGGGAGAAGCTGGTTGATCTAATCAGGGAGCAACAGCAGCTGGTGCTGGTGTGGAACGCTCCCTGCCCGGGGACCGAACAATGGGTGCGGGGAGTAGGAGGGACGGGGAGGAGAAGACAGCAGGGGTGGGGGTGGTGGAGGTTAAAGAAGACCCAGTGTGATCGAAAGGGGAGGAGAAAAAGGAGACCCTTCAGGGGTAGGAGCGGATGTGGGAAGGGAGGGGCTGCGGGGTGTTCGGGGATCCACCAGATACGGTGGGGAGGGACATTCCCTAGGATTTGAGGGAAAAGGGGAGGGGGAGAGAAGCAGGGAGCCACCAGGAACCATGCCTTTGCCCACCCCCATGGGAGAGTGTCTGAGTGGGGCACCCACCTGGGTTTAAAGGTGTTGAGTGGGGCCCCACCAGGAAGGGGAAATAAAAGGAGAGGGTTGCCAAAGGGGAAACTCCAGCTACTGGTGGGGGAGGGAGGCAGGAGTGGAGGGGTGAGGAAAAGGGGAGAGCTGCAGAGATGAGGCAGTGTGTGGAGGAACCACCACAGACAGAAATGGTGGAGCTACAGGGGTGGGGGAAGGAGATAGAAAGGGGGAAGAAAAGGGGAGAAAATGGCTTATGAGAAGGGAAGCCCTGAGAGATTGAGCGGGTGAGGAGAGGCAGGGGGGCCTGGGATGGATGAGGAGGCAGAGCCACCAGTGACAGGGATTGAGCAGAGGGGATGTTAACACTGGTGAAGGAGCCCTCCAAGAAGTGGTGTTGGAGCCATTGGAAGGGAAAGCATTTGTGAAGAGGAGGGAGAGAGGGGGAGCCACCAGGAACGGGAGGAAGATAGTAAGGAGAATCCAGCAGTGGAGAGAGGAAGGGATGGGGGATCCCAGACTGAGTGCCTCTCCCTTTGCCAGGAAGGCTACCTGTCTAGCACCTTGGCTCCTAGTTGGTCCAGCACATTCTCCTCCCCTCTTTTTTCCCCTGCTGATGCATTTCTGTAGATTCCCTTGTTCATTTGCCTCTGGTGCTCTGCAGAATAAAAAAAGCTCCTTGTGAATGATTGGCTCATCTTGCTCATGAGGAATATTAGGCCCTTTCAAACCGAGTCTCTAGAGAATTGGATCCCAATGCAGTTTTCATTGCTCTTACAGTTACTTTGCCAGGAAAAGAAAGATCTAGAGATAGCCCTGAGCATACAAAATGTAGGTTGGCCTACATGATGGGCCACAGGGGAATAGAGAGATAGGGTAGCAGATAGCGAAGTCATCTCATATGCCCTGATGAGTACAGGTTATCTCTGTAGGCTCAGACGTGCACGTGGGGCTATGGCATTGCTATTGGAAAGCACAGTTCTCGGAGGTGAAAATACTGCATTCCGCTCATGTTTATTAATGTGTCAGTATAAAGACCCTGCAGCTCTTTTCTTTTCATGATGCTTTGAGGAAATATTGGAAATGGAGATGGAAGAGAGCTACTAGTCACCTAGTCCATCCCCTAAGCCAGGGCAAGATTGTTCCCTATTTGATGCCTCCCCTTCTCTGATTCCAGCAGGACAGCCTTCCTCAATCAACCTCTGTCTTTGTTTAGCTCAGAGTCTACTTTCTTTGGTCTATGTTCTCTGTTTCGGGTTAGTATAGTTTGTCCCCTATTGTAATCAGCTGCGGCCTCATAGGGTATGTCTACACTGCAATTAAACCCGCCGCTGGTCTGTGCCAGCTGACTCAGATTAAGGGGCTAATTGCAGAGTACACATTTGAGCTTGGCCTGGAGCCCAGACACTAGGACCCTGCAACAAGGGAGTATGTACCTCTTCCAGCGCCCTAAATGCCCCAATAGCAACTATGTGGGTGAAACCGGACAATCACTATGCTCTCGAATGAGCTCAGAGGAAAATAAGAGACAAAAACACCCTATTACCTGTGGGCGAACACTTTTCACAAAGTGATCACTCTCTAACTGAACTATCAGTCCTCATCCTCAAAGGAAACCTGCACAACACTTCTGAAATACGAGTCCGGAGGCTTAACTATATAACTTTGCTAGACACTAAAAATCATGGTCTTAATAACGACACTAGATTGATGGCTTATGACAACAATCTGTAACTCACTAAGCCCCCTTTTTGTCCAATGGGTGTTAATGGGCCAATTCACCTGGAATGGTCCCTTACAATATATGCTAACTACTTATGCTAAACTATCTCTCTTCGGCCTTCTATTTAGCTGTGACATGGGTACCTTTCCCAGACCTGAAGAAGAGCTCTGTGTAGCTAGAAAGCTTGTCTCTCTCACCAACAGAAGTTGGTCCTATAAAAGATATTACCTCACCTACCTTGTCTCTCTAATAGCCTGGGGCCTACCTGGCTACAACAACACTGCATATCTTATAATCCAGTATTTCTCAACATTTTTCTGGTTGACGCTCTCCTTCCTCTCTCCACTATATCAGACTCTGCCCCCATTTCCACCCTTGCCTTGACACATTTGCCTTGGTCTCTTTCCCCACATCACCCCAGTTCTATCCCTGTTGGTTCCCCCTTCCTACAGCCCCACTTCCCTTTGTCTTGCCTCTGTTGACATATTTTCTTTCTCTTCTGCTGGGAGCTGAGTGCCGCCTGCCTTAAACACAGCCGGCAACACACAGGAAGAAATGCTGTTTAGTGCCATCGAGGTTAGGACAGAGGAACAGAAAAAGCAGTCAGGGATGGAGGAGAGGTGAGAGAGACCCACTGGTGTCCATTAAAGGCCAAAAGAATGGGTGCTCCATCCTCGAAGGAATCTAGCACTCTGCTCATCCCCAAACTGGGGAATCTAGTCATAATCTTTCTAAAAATATCTTCTCTGTCCAAAGGTGTTAATGTATTTTTTTTCATTATCAGTCTTCCTGTAGCCCCTGTCACCCAAGTCAGTACTTCTGGCATTGTTATTAATCACTGTGCCTTTCTTTTGGAAGATAGGGACACGATAAGTCTCATCGTGAGATGTGTAATAGCCTGAGACATCCCTCTGACTCCTCACCAGGATTTTGGACAACCCAGGAGACTGCCTCCCAGATAATCCTTCCCAGGTTTTACAGTAAGCCCAGTCTATCCTGGGACAGGTCTCTGGGAGTTCAGTTACTTTTGTGTGAATATTTATATAATGCAAATAGTTTATGTACTTCACTAGGGAGTTTTAATGAGTTCTAGGTCATACCATATTCTACCCAAACCTTACCTAACTAAATACGATCTAGATTCTGCCACATGGTCAGAGCGGCACAATTTAGGCAATTTTTAGCAATCTGGGACACTGGGGAATTTTGAGCACTGTCTACCTGAAGTGGAGACGTTAACGATTTATAATTAGATAAAATGTTCCAGCTGTAACATCAAATAATGGATTAGAAAAGGGCTGTGAAATTTGGGACACAACACACACATGGCGCTTTCTGATTGTCAGTGAACTGTACTCATGACAATAATACAAAGTAATGACAACATTCACAACAGTGCAGAGGGGCTTGGGCGGGATCTGCTGGAATGAAACTCACCCGAAATGCACAAGGCTGACTTGATCCTTTTTGTAATTTCCATTTCTTAATTGCAAGGGAGAACTCCAGGCAGTGTAGTTCTAGCGGTTATTATGCTTCTCTTAACACAGTCCAAAGCAGGCTATAGTTGCCAAGAAATGTACTGTCTATTGTATCTTACTGCTTAATTTTTTTTTACTACAAGAAGAACCTTTCAGCTAATCAGAATACAAAGTTCTTCTAGCGATATTTCCTCATAAAATAGAGGAGACACAATTAACTGAACTTTATGTTAATGCCAGGATTTTGATTAGCTAACCTGATTAATTTTACAGTAGACAGCTTACAGATACATCAATAGTGAAGATAGAAGCAAAATGAAAGGGAATTAAGGATGGATTTGGAGCAAGAGATAAAGGGAGTCAATGGGAAAGAACAGTGACAAAAGAGGAAGAGGGAGTGTGAGCACATTACAGGATTACTTACTTTGGGAAAGGGAAGGTCAAAAGGACACATAGTAAAAGTATGCTAAAATTATGAATAGGGATAGAGCAAACTAGTCAAGCTCTCATATTTACCCTTTCCTATAATGCAACAAGGGGGCATACAATGAAATTAAAAAGCAACACAAATGACACAGGCTAGAAGAAATATATTTGTGCC